GCAGCAAACTTGTTTAATTTTTCCTTTTCCTGGTCAGCCTCTTGCTGATAAAGCTGGGGAAAACTGGGAAAGAGGGCAGGGAGAGTAGCAGACAAGACAAGAAAGCTACCCACCCCCACTGTTCTTTCCTGAAGCTCTAGCTATTTTTCATGAGTAAATGCTTCTCAATTTGTTATCTGCCTTTGGCCAATTTCCAGGGCCCAGAAATAGCTGGGGGTTTTTTTTTTTGTATTTTGGTGGGTTTTTTTCTTTTTTTTTTTTTTTCCCTCCAGTTTTCTACTTGTTCTGTGGGGAGAGGATTTGCTGGACCTTTTCATGCTACCATAGCTGGAAGTTTGGCCTCTGAAGTGCTTTTTTTTTTTTTTTTTTAAACATTAAATGTGATGGGGCATGAATTTCCCACCCCTATAGTCCTACACTTGTTTTGCCTCATTAATTTATCTGCCTGACCCTTGAAGGCATCTGAGCTTATGAATTATAGAACTCAGGGGTTACACCTGGATAATGTCATAAAAGTGTAATGGAATATTCAAATAGTGTTAATCTTTCCACAAACATCTGCCTTATTAAGGGGCCTATGTGCTAGATCCTCTGAGACAGAAACCATTCAATAGAAGGTCCTTGTCCTCAAGGCCCCTAAAATCCTGGGAGAAATGAGGAACACAAAACAAAGAGATAACTCACTTTGTAATGCCTGGAGTATACAACACACACAAGAATATTCTCTGTAGGCTGGGCAGGACAAGAAATGATTTCTCAAGTTAATGACATACAGACCCTTTACATGGTTTGGAAGGTTTCTTTTCAATTACTAAATATTACTTAGGTACTTTTACCTAGGTACTTGGAATGAAATTGCTTCAGTCGGAGAGAATAAATTGGTGCATTCTAATGAAGAAAGAAGCATCTGGGGTGCTGAATATTATGGAGTGCTAGAGGTCATCTTGCTGTTGGTGATGGAGAGTGGATGGTGAATAGAATCAGGAACCAGACTCAGATTCTAGTGGTACCTCCACAACTACTCAGCTGTGAGACTTTGGGCACCTCATCTATCATTTTAAGAAATCAGTTCCTGCATCTGTAGAATGAGGAAAAGGTGGGGAAAAGGAAAGTTTTAGTTCAAATATTCTGTGAATCTGAGGGAAAAGAAGATAGCCTTTTTCCTATAGTCTCTAGAAGATCCTCTCTTTGTTTTCGGATATGGTAAGGATTGGTCACCAGATTTGCCCAAAGCAATAATCTCCAGAATGATTAAATAGGGTTCCTGAAGGCTTCTGAGTTTATTTTAGTAAAATGTTTTGAAAACCTAATGAAAGTTATGACATCTTTATCCGAGGGTGGGGTGAGGAACATTACTCATATACGCACGAATTTTTGCATATAATCTCAGGGAATTCACACAACCCTAGAAGCCCAGGTTAAGGACTCCTGAGAGAAAACAATAAAAAAGAAACCACAAAGAGCCTCAAATTCTTGGATTCAACTCTGGCTGTTGTAGGCTTCTCATTCTTTTTAGAACAAAGTAAAACAAAAGTGAAGGTCTGCATTAAAAACTAACCTAGAAAAATCTGCTCTAGAAAATGAAAATTGTTCATCGCTGAGAAAGGCAGACTAGAGAGTAAGAAATCCTCTCTCCTAACAGACTCCCCAGGCCAAAGGAGGAATGGAAAATTAAAGGCATTAACATTTATCACAGCAAAAGAAGGAAAAACTGCAGGAAATGATTAGTAAGACTGCAATAGCAATTAAAACCAAAGACAGGAAACTGGAATGGGAGGTTTATCTCATTAGTTAATTTGAATGCAAAACTACAGGGGAGTATTTGGGCTGACTGCCTCTAGGGAGCCTTTAATCCTTCCATAGAAAGAGTACTCAAGAGATATCTGAAGAGTTACTAAGGCTCTGTCATTTGCCTCCTCTTTTTGCCCTCTTCCTTTGGGAAAATGGAAAAAGAATTTCGCTAGGTTAAGCAAGCATTTTTTTGTTTGAACTCCTAGAACATTTATGTTTGGTGTTCATTTTGAAATCTAGATTAGATCATGTTACAGAGAACCACCCAAGGACTAAGGTATAAATGTGTCTGACAGAGACCTACGCTGAGATTAGAAGAGGCAGAGCCCACTGGTTTCACGTTTAATGCTGCGCACACTGCACAGAGCTGGAGGGTCGAAGGTCAGGGTTACCAAGTATCCAGGGGAGGGGCTCTCACAGTCCCAGGTAATACTGTCATTATCTGCTCTCAGTGTTACAGCGGCATTTACAGGTTCCCTTAGTCACTCGGCAGGGAAAATGGCATCAGATGCAGAAGGACAGAATCCACAGTGCTTACAGACTTTGGGAGCAAAAGATAAAATGCAACAGTCCGTGTATTCTCCTCTTGCAGGGCTGTGCCTTTGCAATTCAGAAGGCTGGCGAAGCAAGCAACATCTGAGCACAGTTAGAATGGTCTGGTGGTGGTGGATGGTGCCACACAGGAGAGCTTCCCGAGGCTTTTCAGGTCATCTCTGTTCCGTCCCCCAATACCATGATTTGTGGATCAGATACAGGGCATCAGTCCATTTTAGGCAGCTCACTTAGAAGTTTCAGAGCCTCTACATGGATATTGTAGTAAAGACCACCAGTGTTCCTCAAGTTTCCATCCACTTCATTTGTCTTTAGTTTTCCACCAGTCACTGATAGGATAATCAATGGTAAGGCTAGATAAAGTCTCCCTAACACATATTTGCACACCCATCTGCCCACCTGAGCTTCACTTGAATGTCTAATCAGGCATCACAAATTTAACAAGTCCAACACAGAACTCTTGAGTCTCTCCCCAAACTTGCTCCTCCTCCAAGTGTTCCTAAGGGAAAAAACTTGGAAGCACCTTGATTCCTCTTGTTGTCTCCCATGCCACATCCTACCCACGTCCCCTGACAAATTTTAGTCTCTATTTTGGGGGTCTGACCACCTTTCACTCTCCCTACTGCTATAGCAAAGTCCAGGCCACTGTTTGTCTCACCTGGAATAATGCAACGGCCTCCTAACTGGCCTCCATGGGTCCACCTTTACTCTCTACACACTATTCTCCACATAGCAACAGTGATCCTTTGAATGCTAAGTCAGATCCTAACACTCCCTGTTCAAAATCCTCCAAACGTATCCCATCTCTCTCTGAATTTAGTCAGTCCTTGCTATAGCCTATGAGGCTGTTTTCCTAGCTGCCTTTCTGACACCCTCTCCCTCACCCCCTGCACTCTGGGCCACCAGCCTCCATGTTGTTCTCAGAGCACTCCAAGCTCACTCCTACCTCAGGACCTTTGCACATACTGTTCCCCCTGCCTGGAGAGCTCTTCCCAAATCCTTCAATATCTGCAAGGCTCACCTCCTCACCTTCCTTCACATCTCTGCTCAAATGTCATCTCATCAGAGATGCCTTCCCTGCCATGCTGCCTAAAATGACAGCACATTTTTGTCTCTCGCTTAACCTTCTTTACTTTTCTTCCTGGCACATATCATTACCTACTATTACTATATATCCTTTGTTTAAGAAAAAATTTTTTTGTGAGTGGGAATTTTTGTCTTGTTTCCCCACTATATCTCTAGGACCAAGAATGTGTCTGGCATATCATAGACATTCAATAAATATTTTTTGAATGAATGTTATTGGTTATTCTGCCTAAATGGGTGTATAATGGTAATAACTATTTTCTTTTTTTATAATGAAATATCATACATACAAAAGTGCATATAGTGCATATGTACAATTTATTTTATTCTATTTATTTATATTTTTAAGTAGGCTCACGCCCCGCATGGAGCCCAATGCAGGGCTCAAACTCACGACCCTGAGATTAAGACCTGAGCTGAGATCAAGAGTCAGATGCCTAACCAACTGAGCCACCCAGGCACCCCTGCATATGTACAATTTAAAGAATAAGTGGATACCCATGTATTACCAGGAAGTATGTCAACAGTATCTTCTGAAGTATCAAAATAGATTTTATACCAAGTCCAAGTCCAAAATTGTTTCATATTATGAATCCATTAGGACTCTCTTTGATGTAAGTATCAGAAAAGCTAACTCAAACTGGCTTAGACAATAAGGAGATCTGTCATTTAAAGTCTCACCAAAAAAAGAAAGAAAGAAAAAAGAAATATCCAGAGGTAGGGGGAGCTTGGGGCAATGGTTAATCCAGTGCTTAGAAGATGTCACCACAGTATTGTTTCAATCCTTCTCTTCATCCTGCCTTCGTTGGTATCAACCTCATCCTAAAGCTAACTCACTAATGGTGACAAGATGACTGTGGATAGATCCAGGCTATATGGTTTATTCCATGTCCAAGAAAGAGCAGGTATTTTTATCAAGATATCATAAGCTAGAGATGCTGAGAGCACTCTGATTGGACCTTCTTGAGTCCATTGCTCACCTCTGGACCAACCACATGCCTAGGGGAATGCAATGTACTGATTGGCTTAGCTGGTCTCAAGGGCTCCAACCTTGGAGCCCCTAGTAGAAATCAGGAGCTCCTGGAAAGGCAGTAATGCAAGCTGGGATGGTATTCACGAATATCCACTGTACCACTATTCACCAAAGACCTCCTGACACCTGGAGCTCAGAGTCAATTTTGTCTAGTTGTAGACATATTCTAACAAGCTTGGTGTCTGCTCTCCCAGGCCACAGCAAGTGGGAGGGACTCGAGGTACATAGATGGACAAAAATAGGCAACGGAACCAAGTAGACACAAGATTCCAAAAAGTATGATCATTTAGCCACAAGGGGAAACACACACACACACACACACACATGCACACACACACACAGTGGCTCATTGATGACAGGACTGATTTACACCTACAACAGTAATATTATGATGACCCTATATCCAGTGGACAATGACTAAGAAGAAAAAAGGATGTTTAATGGATTTGGAAGAGATTTTATCAAAACAAAAACTATTACAAAGAGAACACTCAGAGAGATACATTTTAGTTCTCCCAAATGAAGCCAACTAAATGAACTGCTGTTAGCTATAATTATCAAAAATTATAGTGAGATGAGAGCCGTCCTTTCCACGGGTTTTGGGAATTTCTACCTATTCCAGACCTGTTATTAAAAGAAAATCATAACAATTTAATGAGCAAAATGAATGGTTGGTTTTTGTTTTGTTTTGTTTTTCATAAAAAGCAAGAAACAGTCCTTTTCACACTCAAAACTTTAAAGGAGGTAACTTAAGCTTCAGGTCACTATCTTTCCCACTTCTAGTAAAAAGTATGTTGGAGCTAAGTACTTATCCAACAGTTACTGAGAACCTGAATTTATTGTAGCTCGAATGTCCCTGACACATTTTGAGCAAAGAGGCAGTAGGTTAGCATGGCTCATGGGTTTGCACATGGAGAAATCAAGACACAAACTAATGAAATAACTCACTTCTGGGGCTCTCTGTGTCCACTTCATGGCAGAACTTCCAATGCCGGCCCAACTCTTAGTTATGCTGGGTTGCTGATTTTGTTTTAAGGTACTAAAAATAAAAGAGACAGGAATTGGGACATCTGGGTGGCTCAGTCAGTTAAGCGTCCGACTCTTGATTTTGGCTCAGATCATGATCTCAGGGTCATGAGATTGAGCCCTATTGGGCTCCGCAATGGGTGTAAAGCCTGCTGAAGATTCTCTCTCTCTCTCTCTCCCTCTCTAAAAAAAGAGAGAGAGAGAGAGATGAATCAAGATGTGAGACTAACAAGGAGACAGGACTCTATGTGGGGACTCCATATGGGGGATGTTGTTCCATTTGAAATCCAGTGTGGCCTCCCACAGTCCATAATCTTCTTTTTTTTCTTTGAATATTGTACTTCTTCACTGAGGCAACCTTAATTAAGAGTAGAAATAGCAGGCTGTTCCCCAAGTGATACAATCTGAGCGCCACTTAGGAAGGGCCTTTAATCTAAATTCTCCACCACCACTGTGATGTTCCACCAGTAGAGATCACTGGCGTTGGGGTGCGGGGGGGGGGGGACAGGGTATTGTTCCACCTTCAGAGGTCCCCGAATAAATGGTATATATTCCTGAAAGACATGATAAGACCTTGGGCAGGGAGAAACAAGCTGGGCTGTAAGAAAGAGAAGGGTGTGTAGAACCCAAGTAGAGAAAGCAGAGAGACTGGTTTGTTATTTTTACCCTCATCCAGCCTTACTTAAAATTACCCGTCATTCCCCACCCTTCTGAGTCTTCCTCCCTAATCTGGAACGCTCCACTTAAGCTGTCACTCCAGAGCAATCCTTCAGTCTCTAATCCTTCCCTCCCTTTCCGGGGTCTTGTTCCTGCTCCCCTGACAGCACGCCTCGTCAGCCCTGTGTGGGTCTGCCTGGAGACCACAACAAAGTCCCCCACACTGGGAAGCTGAAATCACGAGCATTTATTCTCTCACTGTTCTGGAGGCTGCAAGTCTGAGATCAAGGTGCGGCTGGCGTTGGTTTCTTCTGATGCTGCTCTCCTCGGCTCTCCTCGGCTCTCTTTGGCCACTTTCTCCCTGTGTCTCTCCACGTGGTGTCTCTGTGTCTGGGTCCTGATCTCTTCTAGTAAGGACAGAAGTGACAATGGATTAGGGTCCATCCTAATGACCTCATTTTTTTTAAAGATTTTATTAATTTATTTGACAGAGTGAGAGAGAGAGCATAAGCAAGCAGAGTGCTCCCCCACAGAGCAAGGAGCTGGATGTAGGACCCGAACCCAGGACCCTGGGATCATGACCTGAGGCGAAGGCAGCCGCTTAAGCGACTGAGCCACCCAAGCGCCCCCCTAATGACCTCTTTTTAAATTAATTACCCTGCTAAAGGCCATCTCCAAATTCAGGCACATTCTGAGGTACTGGAGACAAGAGCTTCACACAGGAATTTGGGGGAACACAAATCAGCCCACAACGATACCTGACTTCAAAGAGTCCCCTCAAAATCCCTCAGCTCCTTGCCTGAAACACTGCCCCCGAATCCATTTCAAATTTATCATAACAGGTTTCTTTGAAGCAGGATTTTCTAGTCTGACGCCCCTCCCCCACCCCCCACTGAAAACATTAGGCAGGACACGGTGTGTTTAAATTTAGAGGCCAACCCCAACGGCAACTTGTGGGTCTGTCCGTCTGTTTGTTTTGTCAGAATTACAACTGGGTTCTGTGTGTACACCGAATTGCCCCCACGGGACAACTCTGTCTGGACCTGGCCTCTTCGCTGATAGGCACACTAGGATTTCTGAGAAGCCGTAGACCCAGGCGGGGAGCTGCCTCCCACCAGCACCAGCCAAACCAGGGCAGCTAGCTGGAAACGAAAGCATTCCAGAATTAAGGGGAAAAACTGCACCACCGCTGAAAGAAAAACAAAGGCTCTTGTTTCCTCCCCAGCTTGCATCCTGGGGATTACAGGGGTCTCAAACTGGCAACATCACAGCCCAGATCTTTGATCGAACCTGTCCCTCCGGCTCTGGTTCAGGTTTCATCACCTGGGTTGCATACCTTTCCAAAAGAGTGGCCTTTCGTCAGGTTTGCCCTGAGTGGCCGAGCACAGACCAGAGGTATCTGCGGAATGGCATCAGTCTGAGGCTCCCTTTCTCAGCTATGTGACTACACCCTGATTCGGATAAACAGCCTCTCATTGCCCCCCTCACCCCACCCCAGGCCTCAGCCCTCCATCCTGGCCACTGGGCTGGGTTCAGAGTCCAGACCTCCTGTTTAAACTGGAGCAGTCCCACACAACGACCCTGAGTCAGGGCCTCACACAACAGTTCCCAGGCAGCCTCCAGAGTTCACACAACCTTAACTAACCCAAGAAAGAAGCCTTCCCTGTGAAAGAAAGGAGTAAAATCTCTTTTCTGGAAACCCTGAAAAGTAGGCAAGAGGCTCTTCTATTGGAGCTGGAGGACGTGTGACTCCGCAGTGGCCCGCCTCCCCGAGCCTGGTGCCATCCTGGGATCTGGGCCCCTGCTGAGCACTGGTGGATCTCAACGGGGACTCGTCATCCGGACCCCGAAGCCTGTCCCTCAGTCGTGACTGCTCTGGAGACTGTGACCTTTCCCGCACTCGGCGCCCGGGGTTTGGGGATTTAGCTGCTCTAAGAATACTGGCTGGGCACCTGGCTTGCAGCCAGTCACCCACTGGTCATATTGCATTCTCTGAGGGTGCTAAGGCTCTGGCCCATTCCCCGAGCTCCTGGGGGCCCTTTTAAGGTGGCAATACACATCAATGACTCAGAATCCAGCGCAACTTGCTAGACTCTCCCCTTGTGTCCTTTCCTCCAGCGCCCATCAGACTTGCTGCCTCTGATTCCAATCACCATCCTGCTCCCTTGCCCACCAGCCTTCTGCCCCCAGTGCTTGGCCCCCTAGCCTCTTCCTTACCCGCTTCCACTTGGTTTCACCTCTTCCAAATCAGTTTCATTTTTGAAACTTGAGCTTCAACCTGAGTTCATTCCTTGTGGCAGGTGCGAAGGGGAATGAATGTTCGGCCCTGGCTACAGAGAGCTGGGAGATCCGTGGGGGGTGCTCAGAAACAGCCCCCCCACCGGGCAGAACATCCCAGGCACTATGAGAAGAGAAAGAGGGAGAAAGGAGGAGGTCGAGCTGTTTTGGGGGGACAGTCAGGAAATCTCCACGGAGGAGGCGGCACTTAAGCTGAGGTCTTGAACAGGCCAGGATTGGGGCAATCCCTACAAAGCGGGGAAGCGGGGGCAGCACAGAAAGCGAGAGATTTGAGGGAAGAGGGGATTTGGGGGTCCGACAGAGGAATGTCACGCTGACGAGGCTGGCTGAACCCGGTGAGCCCCTGAGTGTGTGAGTAGAACCCACGATGATGAGTATTTACCAGGCAGCAATAACACCTCACCTTAGGCTTCCTTCCAACTCGACTGCTTATCAACAACAAAGGAACTGAGTCATTCTTACAACTGCAAGATCCCCAAGTTCTTTTATGTCAAGCTTCTGGGTCCTGTTCCATTCACGAAAACCAAAAAAATAGAATTCAGTGGCCTCATATTCATCCCGAGGCTCCCACGAGAAAAGTTAGAAGCTAACTTGTGCCAAGTTAGCAAAGCTCGGGGACAGGGGTGGGTGGCCTTCCTGCCCTTCTCCTGCCCCTCTGAAAGCTGAGGGACCTCGGGCCTTCCCACCTCAACCTCTTTCCTCATCATTCTGACTCCGAGGTGAAGTGGGTCATCACTTCACAGTCTTTTTTTTTTTTTTTTAAAGATTTTATTTATTTATTTGAGAGAGAGAATGAGAGGGAGGAGGGTCAGAGGGAGAAGCAGACTCCCCGCCGAGCAGGAAGCCCGATGCGGGACTTGATCCCGGGACTCCAGGATCATGACCTGAGCCGAAGGCAGTCGCTCAACCAACTGAGCCACCCAGGCGCCCCATCACTTCACAGTCTTGAAGCAGCTGCCAAGAAGGCTCTTTCCCCGGAGGACAGTTTCTGCTGCTCCTGCAAGGCGAGCCCTGAAGACATGGAAAGCCCTGGAGGTGGCCCACAGCGCTGTCAGGGGATAGCGATCAGACCCCAGGAGGGTGGTCACCCACAGGCTGGTGCTGAAATGTCACACGGCCTTGGCACACGCCGATCCTCCTATTTCAGTTGCTAGATACTTTTTCACTGACTTAAACATACCCAGCTGATGCCACCCTACGGGTATCTCTTCGCTGGGCAAGAGGACAAAGGCTATGTATTTTTAATATACATTTAAATGTCCTTTCTTCCAGCCCCAATCTTTGGGGCTTTTATGGCTTATTATCTGAAATCTATTTTGCCAAAAATCATAGCATTTCATCTTACTGCCTTGTTTTAGTAACACATTGCCTTTATAGAAACTCTGTCCGGCGGCATCCCTGAATTGGAAAAGGGTTTTTTGTTTGTTTGTTTTTTTGAAGAAGGCTACAGACTGGGGATCAGGAACCATGTCCTTCTCCTGGTTCTCTTGGAGCTTCAGTTCCTCTGTCATCTAGTTAATGAATTAGTGTCTGAAAAACATTTTAAGACTGAATCATGAAAACCACTATAGGTCCAGAGCTATAAAAGTAGCTCATCTTAAGCAATAAAAGTATTCTTGTGTGTAACCCAGATTATCTTTTTTTTTTTTTTAAGAATTTACTTATTGGGCACCTGGGTGGCTCAGATGGTTAAGCGTCTGCTTTCGGCTCAGGTCATGATCTCAGGGTCCTGGGATCGAGT